AATTTACATATAGTATATCGACACTAATTATGACATTATTATTAGCCTCACTCATTATATACATTATAAATACCAAAAACATCTTCAATTATGCCACATCATCAATTAATACACTAATTAGTGCACTAATTGGTGCATATAGTATTAGTCTTTTATTAATATATAAGAGTTATGCTAAAGACTCTAAATATTTTACCAAACCTTTCACATGGGTGTGAAATCCACACATGTGAATTTGTGTGACATATGTGAATTTGTGTGAGTCTCACCCTATATGAGAGATTAAGTAGAATATTTAGTAAAATATTTAAGATACATAACATTTCTCAATATATAATTAATTTTCATTGACACAACTTCAGTGTAATTGTCTTTTTTTATATATGTGTAAAACATGTGTTTAATTTTTACTTATTTATTTTTTTTAGGTTGGACATATGATTAATTTAGTTGTTTCTAATTTGATAAATAAATAAATAAATATAATATTCTATTCTACCAACTTAATAGATATAATTAAACATAAAAAAGAAAATTATGTTATTTCATATGAGAATCAAGCCTTGTTTGGAAAGTAACTAAATTAAAGGATAAATTATAAATACATTTCTTGAGATTTGATTAAAATACTAATCACTTCTTGTGACTTTAAAAATTACATTCCATCCCTTAAGCTTTCTAATTTCATAACAAATCACTCATTTTATTAATAAATAATCAAGTTAATTAACAGTTTTCAATGATGTTAAAAATATATTTCAATTAATAATTTAAGTAATTTTATTATTATATAGGAAAGCAATTATGAATTTTGTTTTTTTAGTTAATTTTGTTAAATAAAAAATTCTAACAAGGGGATATTTGTAATTTTTCAAACTACAGGAGGCAATCTGTGTTTTAAACAAATCTCAGGGAGTGTATTTATAATTTATCCTAAATTAAAGGGTAAAAAATTAGAGCATTGCTATTGAAGACTAAAAATTAGATTTAATTTTCAAATTCGGTGTGATAATCAATTAAGATATTAAAAGTAATATTTTCTCTCATATCTTCCCTAATCATCAATTAGTAACATATCATTAGGTCTAAAAAGTTAACTTGCATATTACTTTTCAAAAAATTATTACAAAACATATTTTCTAGTTTTTTACAAGTTTTTATATATAAAAAAAAAAAAAATCAAAAAACCAACCTCGTTGTTCTACTACATTCAACTTTATATTCCTTTTTCTCACTCATATTTCATTCTATTCCAACCTCCCAAACATTCCCTTAATTGTGTAATTTCGTTTTAATGAATGGGCCCATTAATAAATGGACCTATCATTTCGTGGCTAGTGGTGTGGTTCGTTTTGGACATCATTTTCAGCTTTGGGCTTGCAACCCAAACCCAAAACACAAAACAAATATAGGCTTGAGAAGTTGGAAAAAATCTAATTTATTGATTTTTTTCGGGAATTTTTTTAGAAAAATGTATAAAAAAAATAAATAAGTGAATAGTGTATTATAAAAAAAATCATTAAAAATCTGATTCATTGATTTATTAATTTAAATTGTATTATAGGATACAATCATGTGTATTTAAATTATCAGGTAAATTACATTGTGTTCTCTTAAAGTTTGAATTATCAGATAAATTATACTGTGTTCTCCTAAATTTTAAGAAAAATATAATAAATTTTATAATTTTAATATAATTACACTGAGCCTCCTTTAAAGTTTTAATTTATATAATACTTTTTTCATTAAAAATTTGTTAGGCAAGTGAATAGAAAAATAATACTCTCATTCTTTTACACTTAAATACATATTTTTTTTCTTATTTATCTTTGTATGTTCATACCATTTGTATTAGTTTATGTCCATTTAACTTTATTAAAAACAAAATTAGTGTAATTATGTCACAACTGTAAGATTTACTGTATTTTTTTTAAATCTCAAGAAAAATTAGTGTAGTTTATTCTTAATTATATTATTCATGTCTTTTATAGTATTCATTCAACAGTTAATGTGGCGTACATTTAACAAGAGTAATATTAGGAATCATGAAAAAAATATCATGAAATGTATCATGAAAAATTTTCATTCTTTGATTAGTGTTGATTAGTGTGTGGTGTTTTATTGTGTGTATAATCCAAAAGTGAAGAAACTTTCATAATTATCTTTCTGATATTTTCTTCATAAACCTTAACATTACTCCATTTAACAATCTCTCTCTCACGAGGTTCTCACGGCTTGAAACCGTTGCAAATTGACTCTAATATTACTTATCAAATTGAGTTTTACTATCTCGCCTAAAATTAGTTGGTATTAAAAACGATTTTACGTATGTCTTTTATGACATTCATCATCACGCTTGCAAACCTATTTTTAGGGCGACATTTTATAATACATTATATGTATTTACAATATCTTTAAATCAAACTTTCAAATAAAAAATTGTAATTTAATAATAATTATTTTTATAGACATCATTCATGGGATTAATTGACACATACTTACACGATTGGCTAAAAAATTTTTGACTAAAAAAATATAAAAAGACAAAATAGGCTATATAAGTCAATAAGACAAAATATTACTTTTTACTTATAATCATTACACTTTTTCTCTCACAAAAGTTAAAAAAACCAAACCAAACAAGACTAAAAAAGTCAAGCTAAAAAAGTCCCAGCACAAAAAAGCCAGTCAAACGAAGGCTTAAATTAAAATTATGTAATATGATGATTAGTATTTTAATTTCAATTTTTAATTTTATAGAATATGTGAAGAAAAAAATAAAAACAATATGACGTGACATTTTTCATGATAGAGTAAATTTAAAGAAATCAATGATCAAACATGCATCATATTAAAAATTGGCACTATTGATAGCGTTATGCTAAATTTAATAAAGAAAAAAGATTGGAAACTCTAAATTAAAGATCTAAGACCATCTCTAACTCTGAATTAAACCTGGTATCAAATTTAAAATTTGGTAAAAAAATACTTTTTAATGCTCCAACAGTTTCACCAAATTGATATCAAATCGAGATTTCACCAAACGTTTCACCAAAATGAGGACAGGCTCCGTATTTCACCAAAACACTGTGCATGACCGTTAGGGAGACCAACCGGTCGACCAGCCGGTTGACCGGCCGATTGACCAACCGGTCGACCACCAAATGGTTCAAACAGTTTCAAAAAAAAGGTTCAAACAGTTAAAAAAAAAATTCACCTTACCGGTCAACCGGTCGACCACTAAACGGTTCAAACAGTTCAAAAAAATTAGTTCAAACGGTTCGGGAAACAAAAAAAAAAAAATCCTTTTACCGGTCGACCAACCAGTTGTCCCCGGAGTAGATTTGATAAAAAGTGAAGCGTTGGAGCCAATGGTATCAAATTGAAGAAAGCATCATTTTTTCATCAGATTTGATGAAAAAAGTTCAGGGTTAGAGATGCTCTAATAACTCTAATTGGTATGTGAGTCCTATGTGATGTGATGTTTTAACTTTGGTTTCTTTTTCTTTTTTTTTCTTTTTTGATTTTTCACATCATTAATGCACTTTTAAAGCTCTCAAATTAGAGAAATATATCATTTTTGTTTAATAAAATGGATAGCACAGTATTAGAGAAACTTCAACATTTGTTATTTAAAAACATATACTCCAGTAGTGTGTTGTTTAATCGAGTTATTATTAAATTTTAATAGTATGCTATTCATCATGTCAAATTTAACAAAATGTTAATTATCATGCCAAATTTAACAGATGCACAATAGGAGTATTGTGCTAAATTTTAGCACGATAAAAATGTTTAACTGTTTAACCTCTTTAAATTTATTATATTAGCTCAAAAAATTTCATGTCATGTCATTTATATATATTCAATAAAATTAATAAATTAATATAACAAAACTATTTTTGTAAATATTAACCAAGGCATTTTATCATAAAATACTAATAATTAAATTTATTTTATTTTTAGTTAAAGAGTTGAAATTTTAATATTAATCATTGGATTGTAGATATTTTAATAGAATGTTTAATTTAAAAACATTGTGAATATGTATAATTAATTAAGTATGAATGATCATTTTTCATAGGATATAAACTACATCGTGCTAACAAATAGCGTAAAGATTTCAAAATACACATTTTGACTCAGAATATGAACACAAAATTAGCATAAATATGTTAGAGATTCATGTTATGGCTACTAGAGTTGTTGTTAGTTATTTCACTATATTTTCATGGGTCTCATTAAAATCATATTTAGTTGTGATAAAATAATGTGGAAGTAACAGAAAAGGAGTGATCCTTTACTTTTTAGAGTTAATATTTTCACCCCTTTTTTATATATTATATTTTAAAAGTTTTTTTAGTTAAAAAATCACTTCCAAACAAAGACTAAGGGTTCGTTTGGCATTAGCTAAAAAATCAATAAATAAATAAATAAAAAGCTTTAAACTCATATAAAAAGATCAAAAATTCATCCTTATTTTTTTTACTTCATATTTTAATAAAAATAAAAAAATCCCTAAAAAATAATTACCTCCCAAGAATCCTCATTCATACTTGGGCCTTCTTTATTTTTTGGGAGTGATAGTGAAACAACTGATAAATAGGTCACCCTTATCGTCACTCTATAGAACTGTATATGAGATTTTCGCCTCTCGAGTTCTTCGAAAATGTAGCAACGTCCCGAGCGAGTCATTCTGCCTATCTCATCAATTGATTTTATGACTTGATCTATAGAGAAAAAGAAAAAAAGTTTTGTGTACAGATACAGCAGAAATCTTTAGTTTGAGAGAACAAAGATTTTAGTTATAAAAAAAAAAAAGTCATTACAAGTTAACATACTATTCTTTTTACTATTTTACATATCTTTTCACAAAAAAATAAAAAATAAATTCTTGACTAGGTTTAATAACATTATCAATCTTACAATCTCAACTTAATCCAGAAAACAAGGCCTAAAATCCAAAAAAGGCCAACTAAATTATGAATTGTAGCAAAACCCCAATTGGGAGACGCACATTTCCAACAAACCCCTCATCCCTCATTTAGCTTAATTGTCATCTCTCTCTCTTTGCCCTAATTCCGATATAGCCCCCAATTCTTGGGTTCTCTTCACCCTCGGCGCCCTTCTCTCTCTCACTTTCCCGTAAGTCCTCTCTCTCTCCCTCTCTCTACATATACCTTCTGTATTTTGCGATTCAGCTCTCAGTTTGTCTTGATTTTTCATCTTTGTTTTTTTTTTTTTTAAATTTCTTTCTTTGTTATCTGAGTTAAAATGCATTGACTGATTTCAGATCTATGTGTTTGAAATTTGTAGTCAGAACTTTGTTTGTTATCATTAAATTGATGGGGGGGACTTGAGTGTGTGTTCAAAGTTTTTTTTTTTTTTTTTGTCTTGTGGTTTGGTTGAGTTGAGCTGAATTTTATGGTATCAGACTCAGCTAGTCACTATAGAAGCACCACTGTCAAAGATGTATATGTTAAATTGTCACTAATTTGGAGGATTTGAATAGCTGTTGTTTTCATCTGTCCAATGCCTATACTAAAATTTTGCAGAGCTGAAATTTATGTTTTTAAACTTAGATTGTACTCTGGATATGAATTTATGTTTATAGTATTTTGAATAGCTGTAGTTTCCATTCATTGCAATGCCTAAACTAATTTATATAGGAGATACACAGTTACCGCGCTTTTTGATGAATTCTATGTTTGGTTTCTTGTTCAAATTCTGTTTGGTGAAAAACTAATGAAAAATTCAAAAACAATCATCACATTTTTATTTATTTATTTGCGAAACAAAAATATGTTTTGAAAATCCAAAAGCATATTTTTTGTGTTTATTTTAACCAAACTAAATTTTAGTATTTTTCACAAAATATATTTTGAAAACGAAACCAAACCAAATTTTGAATAAATCTATTACGTTTTAATGGTATTTGTTGTAATGTATCTCACATCGCCTAGAGTTGTCCCATATGTGTTAGTGATAAGATTTAAGTTTCATTTTTCTTAATACCTGGGTTTTAAGGAAAAGTGTGGGTTGGCTTTTCAATTTGGTATCAAAGCTTAGTTGGGCTTATGATTGGTGTGTTGTTTGTCCAGTTACTGTATATTGTGGTCCAGGAAGGTATATTGGAATGTATCCCACATCACCTGGAGTTGTCCCATCTATGCTGGTTATAAGGCTCCAGTTTCTCTTTGTATGTTGTGGTCCAGGAGAGTAAGTTGGAATGTGTTTCATATCACCTGGAATTGCTCCATCTGTGCTAGTTATAAAGCTCTAGTTTCTCTCTTCTTAATACCTAGATTTTACGGAGAAATGTAGGCTGGGTTTTTCAATTTTCCTTAATATCTGGGTTTTAAGGAGAAATGTGGGTTGGACTTTTTAATTTAGTATCAGAGCTTGGTTATGAGACTCCAGTTTCCCTCTCCTTAATACCTGGGTGTTAAGGAGAAATGTGAGCTGAGTTTTTCAATCTGGTATCAGAGCTTGGTTGGGCCTGTGACTAGTATGTCGTTTGTCTGGCTAGTGTATGCTGTGGTCCAAGAGAATGTGTTGGAATGTGTCACACATTGCCTAGACTTGCCCCATCTATGTTAGTTATAAGATTTCATTTTTCCTTTCCTTAATAACTGGGTTTTAAGGAGAAGTGTGGGTAGTGCTTTGCAATGAGTTTATTTATAATTCTTGGTTTGTTTTATTATGGAGAGAATGTTTTGTATTCATAATGCAGAGCCAACTTGTGTATTCACTTTGTTGTGTAAAATACAACAAACCAATTCAACTTCCACAGGGTGTTCTGCAAGCACCACCATGATGTGCACGCAAGGTTCTGAAAAGCAGTTGCGGTTGCGGTTGCCGTAACGGTGGCGGTGGAGCGGTTGCAGTTGTGGGGTGTAAAGGTCGTAGCGTAACGGTTGCGGTAACCGGAACCGTGAATTTTTTTATTTTTCGTACAATTTGAAATTTTTTTACCGATACGCATATTTTTTTTCTATAATCATTTTTATTGGGTTTTAAAATAAATATTAATCAATTTTTGTAAATTTTTAAGTATGATCTAATATATTTCATATTTTTAAATCTCTATAAGCTAAGTTTTTTTACATTTTATTTTAATAATTAATGACTTTATATGTCATAAATCCATATTATGCTTGTAGCAAAAAAAATAATTATTGGACTTAGATGTATAAATTTATTTTTTTAATTATTATACTTGTGGAAGCATATAGTTTTAAAAAAATAAATTATAAAGATTTTTTTTTTTTTTTTGGGTTTGGATCACTTGAATATTCATTCTCTTTTTGGATAACCTGTAAATAAAAATAAAATAAACTAATCAAAAAAAATTGACATATATAAAATATGTATTAATATATAATTATACAAATGTTATGTTTTTTAGATATTTTACAAAAAAAATCAATCACTAACTATTATATATAAGATAAACAATGATAAAAGTAAGAGAATAAATAAGAAAATAAATGTATATATATATATATATATATATATACATATATATATTTTAATCAAGCCAAATACATAATGACCACACTTATTATTATGATTATTATTATTTTCAAACAATATATAGATAGACACAAACAAAATGGTTGAGTGATAGCAGCTGAATAGAATAGCATCGGTTTTATAGTTTCAACAAATCAATAACATGTTCTTCATCTTCCCTCTTCTCTCCCTCTCTCTCTCTTGCTTCTTCATCATCCCTCTTCATCATCCCTCTTCCCCCATTTTCATTTTTTTTTTTTTTTGGTTTTTTTTGAAAGAAGCAGTTCGAAATTGTTACGTAATGGTGCGTAATAGGCCGTTACGGCCGTGTTTTATTATGGAGAGAATGTTTTGTATTCATAATGCAGAGCCAACTTGTGTATTCACTTTGTTGTGTAAAATACAACAAACCAATTCAGCTTCCACAGGGTGTTCTGCAAGCACCACCATGATGTGCACGTTTTCAAAAACAGTAATCCCCGCAATTTAAAATTGCATTTGTGTATCTTATTAGCAAGATGGTATAGAATCTGCAACTTATTAATGAAGGTGCTTTAAATTATATGAAAACTTGAAGAATAAACTTATGTGCTCTGTTGCCAATTTAAAAAAATATAAAATATAAAAAAATAAAAACTTATGTGCTCTCTGATTGCTTATAGGAACTTCTGAAGATATTTGGGATGGTGAAGGGGAAGCTTATATTAATTTGCCAATCTGGTGGTGAGTTTGTGAAGAATGATGATGGGTCCTTCACATATGGTGGAGGAGAAGCACAGGCAGTAAATATTGATTGTGAAACACTGTTTGATGATCTGAAGTTAAAATTTGCTGAAATGTGTAATTTGGATTTTAAAACCATGTCCATCAAGTATTTCCTCCCAAGAAACACTCGGACTCTCATCACTTTATCAAATGACAAAGATCTAAAAAGGATGCTTAGTTTCCATGGGAATTCAGTAACAGCAGATGTTTTTGTCATGGGAAAACAAGGTTTTAACCGTGATGACTGGAACATATTCAGCAGCAGGTATTTGTCTTGGGTTGAACACAATTCTATCCTTGTTCACATCATTTATCTGTTTCATATTTTATAAATCTTTATTACAATTATAGTTGCCCTCATGTTACCCATCACTGCAAAGCCTAGAGAAACAGTTGTGTCAAAGAAACAGCTTGTGTGAACCCCTACAATGCCCCTCACTTTTTGGTGAAATCATAGTGGCAACCCTCTTTACTATGATGCAGTCCTTACAACCTGTTTGGATCGAGTGATTCAGTGAGAAATGATAAGAAATGAACTCTTTTATCATGTTTGGTTTATAAGTTAGGTGAGAAATCGTGAGAAATGAAGAGAAAGATAATTCTTTTATTTTATAGGTTTCATTTCTCACTAAAAGTGGTGAGATTTGGTAAGAAACAAGTTGATTGCCTGTTAAAATACAGAAGAAGAAAAATAAATTTCATCTCCCTATATCACATGCTTTCTTACGCATTCCAAAAAAAAATAGTGAGAAAACACATTCGTTTCTTTTCTTTTCTCACCTACATGAGATACCACTATCATTTTATTTTATTTTTTTCTTTTTCTTTTCTCACCTTACAATCCAAATGGAACCTTTAATGATTTGCATTTAGCTGGTGAACAAATACTTTTTACATACTTGCTTGATATCATCTTAGTAATACTTATTTATCAACAAAAAAAGAAGAAGAAATCATCTTAGTAATACTTGCAGGACGACGGGCATAAAAGTAGCAGAGTCTGTGAAACATGTTGCTCCACCCCCAGCTGCTGCTACTTCATCGCCTGTTGATGCTGCTAGTCCTGTTGGTTGTAAAACTGCTACACCAAATAAGACTACTCGTGCTGCATCAAAAAAGGCTAGTCTCGCTGCACCAAAGAAGGCTACTCGTGCTGCACCAAAGAAGGCTACTCGTGTGGCTACTGACTCTGCCTCAAATTCTTCTGCTTATACTGATAGTGATAACTCCAGTGCTGGTCCATCCTCTCCAGTTAGTTTTGCTGCTAAGCCCATTCCTCACAGTGCAATTGAAGTAGATATGAGTGCTACCCCTGCGGATACTGTTAAGAAGCGAAGACGCACTGCTTCTTGGAAAATTGGTGTCAATGGTCCAACCATTGTTGCTGTCCCTGACGATGATGGGGACAAAAAATCACGAAGAATGAATAGGCGACGTTTGGCGGATGATGATGATGATGATGACACGGAGCAGAATATGGAGGTTGTACCTTGGGAAGATGATCTTGACGCTTCTTCTCATCTTATCAGCTCTGATGATGTGTCTTTGGACAGCCTAGTTGCATCGTGGAAGGATGGTATTACTGGTATTGGTCAGGATTTCAAGGATGTGAGCGAGTTTCGGGATGCGTTGCAGAAATATGCCATCGCACATCGTTTTGTGTACAAGTTAAAGAAGAATGAAAGTAATCGTGCAAGTGGGATATGCATAGCTGATGGCTGTTCTTGGAGGATACATGCATCTTGGGTCCCAGCCGATCAAACTTTTAGGATTAAGAAGTTCAATAGCTCGCACACATGTGGAGGGGAGTCTTGGAAGTCTGCCCATCCAACGAAGAATTGGTTGGTGAACATTATCAAGGACAGGTTACGAGAGTCTCCACATCAAAAACCGAAGGACATAGCTAATGGCATTTTGAAGGACTTTGGAATCGAATTGAGCTATACCCAAGTGTGGCGTGGAATTGGAGATGCTAGGGAGCAACTTCAGGGTTCATACAAGGAGGCATATAATCAGTTGTCTTGGTACTGTGAAAAGATCATAGAGACAAATCCCGGTAGTTCTGTCAAGCTCATAGTCAATGATGACAAAAGATTTCAATGCCTTTTTGTGTCCTTTCGTGCCTCAATACATGGTTTCGAAAAAGGTTGTCGTCCCCTTCTTTTCCTTGAAGCTACGTCTCTAAAATCGAAGTATCAGGAGGTTCTACTGACAGCAACCGCCTTGGATGGGGACGATGGCTTCTTCCCAGTTGCATTTGCTATAGTAGATAATGAAAATGATGAGAAATGGAATTGGTTCTTGGAGCAATTGAAGTTTGCATTGCCCATTTCAGAATCTATAACTTTTGTTTCTGATAGAGAGAAGGGACTAACGGAGTCTGTGCTTAAAGTATTTGAGAATGCTTACAATGGTTACTCCATGTACCACCTTTTGGAAAGCTTCAAAAAAAGCTTGAAGGGTCCGTTCCATGGAGATGGAAAAAATTCCTTACCTGGCTATTTCATAGCTGCTGCCCATGCTGTCCGACTCGTTGGTTTTAAAAAGTTCACCGAGCAAATTAAGCTCGTCTCTTCTCAAGCGTACGATTGGGTGGTGCAAATTGAGCCAGAATATTGGACGACAACTGCATTCAAGGGTGAACGCCATAACCAAATCACAGAGAATGTTGCAGAGCCGTACATCAATTTGATTGGTGAAGTGCGTGAATTACCCATAACACAGAAGATTGATGCACTACTATCAATGATGACAGAGTTGATAAATACCCGTCAAAAAGAGTCAAGCGAGTGGTCTACGAAACTCACTCCATCAAAACGGGAAAAACTACAAGAAGAAATCGTTAGCGCTCGTGGACTTAAGGTCTTAATCTCATCCGATACCATATTTGAGGTTCATGATGATGCCATTGCTACCCATGTTGTGAATCTTGGCACATGGGACTGTACTTGCCTAGGGTGGCAAACTACAGGCTTACCTTGTCGTCATGCTATTGCTGTTTTCAATTGCACACACAAGAGCGGGTATGATTATTGTTCAAAGTACTTCACAGTAGATAGCTTCCGATCTACATATTCAGAGTCCATAAACCCCGTGCCTAGCATTGGCAAGCCAGTCGAAAAAGAAGAGGATACCTCAGACACTGCAGATGTGCTTCCACCTTGTCACACTCGATCACCAAGTCAACCAAAGGCGAAAAACAAGTCAAAAGACGAGGACCAACCACAAGAAGAACCACAAGAGGAACCACAAGAACCACACGTAGAACCACAAGAGTAGTTTCTTGGAAGCAAGGCATAAATAAGGTACTATTTTCTTTCTAGATTTTTACCTCTCTTAGCTTCTTTGCTTTTTGTTGTACGGTGGCATTGTGTACAGTTTGTGTAATTAGGTAGTGAAGGTAGTAGTTTTTATGTACTTAGCATCTTGTGAATGTGTTGTGCAGTTCTCTGCCTCATGAAAGACTTGTGTATTGTAGTTGAAGTTAAACTTTGTCTTGAGCTATCTTGGTGGTTTTCCAACAGTGTCTCTCTTCAGATCTTGAGTAAGGAGGTGTTGTTTTCATTTTTTTGAGCTGATCAGAAATATACACTGCTGAATCATGATGGAACTTGAACAATTCAGACCACTAAAGTAAAGAGTGCTTTAATAAAAGGGAAAATATTTATAACCAAGTTATTTTTTTTTTCATGAAATTTCTTTTGTGTTCTTTTAGGCTATGTTTGGATTATAGATTTGGATAGGAATTTAGAAAAGAAAAGAGAAAATGTGTGTGAAATGTGAATACAATATAGTTACATTTGACCTACTTTTTCTCTTTCTCTTTCCAAATCATTATCCAAATTTATGATTCAAATACAGTCTGAATATATGAATCCACCCTCTCAAACTCAATGAAAATTTTATAATAGGACTTAATTGAATAATTTTCCTTCATAAAATCCCTTCTCTGTAAAACTTTTGCACTTGCAATAAATGCATGGGTCTTCTTTGATAAATTATGTGTAGCAACAAATTCCAAAAAAATGGTGAAAAAAAAGTGTATATATATAAAGTGTTTTCAATTGTTTTGAAAACAAGTTTTTGTTCCCTCCTTCCTTCAGCAACCCCTCCTAGCAACTCCTTTTCTTTAAATATCTTTTCTACTGTTCTTTTTTCTTTTTCTTTTTCTTTTTCTTTTTTGACCGAAAAAAGAAAAGAAAACATGTTCTTGTTTTCTATTTTGAAATTGACAATGTTATCAATCCTAAAATTCAAAATATTCTATAGAGAAATGAATGCATGCCCTCAAATTTTCATTAGTCCTTAAAAATTCCAGTGCAATGGTGCAATTTAATTAATAAATTCAATCCAATTACTTGGTTGTTGTAACAACAAAATAGTTCCTTCCTCTCAATAACACATTCTAAAGAATTGTCTCATGAAATAGAATAATGTGTCCAACATGAAACACTAAGATAGAACTTCTATGAAGCACAAATGACAATAACTTGTAGTCCAAATTCATTCGGTGCAATTTTCTTTGCACTTCGTTTTGTGCACCTAATATTATTCAATGCCAAATAATCAGAAGACTAGTAACTTGATAAACTTTATGTGACGTTGAAATCGAGGGGTATATAAACAAAAGGCTAATTGACAAATTACGACAATAATTTTTGTACTTTGCTTTTTTTGTCATTGTAATTTTAATTGACTCAATTTTGATTCTAAATTTATGAATTTGTTTCAATTTACTCTAATTGATTACTACTCTTAGCAATTTTATGAAAAATGCATATCTGTTATATTTTTAAGGATAAAATAATAAACTTACTCAACTCAGTGAGTTAATCTCAAAGAATTCATTAATTATTTTTTTTCAAAAACACTAATGATATTATCAATTGGACTCAATTGATATAAAATCTAAAATTAAAAGTCAAATTTGAACCCATTAAAAATGTAAGGACCAAAATGATACAAAGAGCAAAACATAGTGACCACTAGTGTAATTTGCCCAAAAGTAAATTATGCCACAACTATGAACTTAAAAACTATATACATACATATTCAATTAAGCCCTTGATTTAAATTTTCAATCAATTAACCTTCTACATTTCTGAATTGGTTTAATGTAGCCCTTTTGCCACATTTTGTCCACATTAGGCTGTTATTATGTTAAGTAGTATAGAGCATAACATTATATGGGACCCAATTGAATGGTAAATTGGTAAAATTAATCCCAAATTCATTTTTCTAAGCCAACAATCCAAAATCAAATGACTTAAAATGTAAAATGGGATAGATATTATTGATGACAGGAAATTTTTGGCAACAATTTTTTTTTGGATTTTTTTCACTAAAAGACAGTTTTTGCAAAACTAAAAAAAACAAATTCAAACAAAATATCACATCAAACCCTATAATCATTTCACTTTTTCTCTCACAAACATCACATCCAACCACAAAAAAACCCAATTATATTCCCAAACACCAAAAAAAATTTCTCTAATAATATCCTACAACTAAAAAAACCTACATAAAAACCCACTTCCCAAACACCCACTTAAAAAAATAAAAAATAAAAAATCACTGCATCCAAAATCCATAGCTCATAAAAAATAGTATTAATTACACTTTTCATTCATGTAGTTTGATATAAATTTCCCTTCAATCTCTATAGTTTTAAATTTAATAATTTAGTCCCTACACTTTAAATTCAATTTCAATTTAGTCATTCCGTCCAATTTGAGATTAAAATTAACAATTTTCAAACACTTGACAATTTTCCAGGGGAACACGCAAAAAGAATTAACAGAAATTTAGATGGAAGGACCAAATTAAAACTGAACTTGATGTTTACAGACCAAATTGTTCAATCTGAAACTATAGAAACTAAAGTGAAATTTGAATCAAACTACAGACGTAAAAAGTGTTATTAACCCCAAAAAATACTATTCAGCAATTTTAATCATTATAGCAAAGCATTTGGAAATAAAATGAAAAGATAAAAGTCCCACGCATGTTTGTGTAAAAATATACCATGTCTGTGTAAAAAACACAATTTAGCACTTCTGATCATTACAGCAAAATATTTGGGAAATGACTTGTAAAAGCTATATAAAACAACACAACATTTGAAGAACTAGCAACAAAATGCAAAGACAAGTTCCTAGCCTGCAAAGCAGTGTTCAATATATATATATCCTAAATTTCCATCATAATATATCCTGTTTTTGCTAGACTATTCATCTTATTTATCTTCTAGGCTTCTAGCTACAAAGTAAAGAGTTGTACACTCACTTGTGCCCTCTCGAAGCGTCAAGCTACGAGAGCAGACCCGCACATGATGGGCAGGGTGGATCACGTCGATCTTCATGGCATGTTCTCTGTTCCAGACAATCAGCATGATAAACATGCCCACAAACCAAAACCGCCACAACCGAGAGATCACCAGAAGAGATCGTGTTACCTAGAATAAAAGGCTTCCTTTTCAGAAACTTCTCACATATTGCACATACCATCTTCAATGCATCAGGAGATGCTGCACCCACAGCCAAGGAGCTCGGCCTAATTTTCTCTGGTCGGCAAAATGCTCTCTCCTTATTTTCTGAAAAACAAATCACAAGGAAATGAAAAAGCGTGCTTCAAATACCTTTATTGGACACCCAACAATTGGACATCAGACATTCTTATATATTTCTATTTAAATATATGTATATATTACTGTATAATTATTATAAAATGAGTAAAATACCTTTTTGACACTGTATATATATAACACTATTTTATCCCACATAATTGATTAAAAATATAAAAATATGACCCTATTTTTTCGTGTCTGTGAACCGTTAAATTTGATATTTGATGGGTTCAATCTCCAGATATGCACCGGCACCCGATACTTGTACTCAAACCAGATCTATGTAACACATACTGTGCATCATATTCCTAAATTGATAAGTCTTTTCCGCAAAGTGATTATAAGCTCAATGGTTATGGCGCCTCAATGAATAATGGCTCGAGTTGATAAATGCTTAAATTTTGCCTTTTGATATGCTTTATATAAAGATATGCAAATCAAGCTTTCCTCACTCTTTCAGCCTTGCTCCTCGAGCTTGCACCAGACACAGATAGTGATTGTAGGTTCAACGGTTACAATGCCTCAATCAACACTAATACACTTTACCAGCTAGTCTTGCTTTCCAACAAGGCCGAAAATCAAATAAAATTATACTCATAAAAGATAAGAAGATAAAGACTACCTATGTGCCGTCCAGAATCCGAATTGCATTGACTTGCAAACTTGAAGGAGAGTTTCTCATTGTGCAGAGTACCCTTGCCACGAGAAGATGATGCATCAGCATTATTGATTGAGTTTCGCCGAGAGTATTGACGACCGTAGTAATGCCGCGGGTGCCTCAACAATAGTGCACGACCAAGATTTTGATGTGAATGGTGGGTGTTTGGTAGCTTTCCAGCACAATCCATGATAGATGAGAGAGACTTTAGTGTACCACTATCAACTGAATGAGAAGATTTCTGCTACAAAAAGGAGGAAAATTCCAAAATTGAAAAAGAAAAAAGAAATAAAAATGCAGAAAGTACCTTTATGAGAAAGAAAAAAAAAGGCAAAAAACAACGAACCTCTTTAGACAAATCCATTATAGAGGAATATGGCATGGTTTCTGCAATATGTGAAATGAAATTAAATAATCAGTCACAACTTGATTGTCATACTTGAGAAACTTTACCATTCCTAGGATTATAAACTTACATTAGAAGATAAACCAAAGAGCATTTATATGCTCAAGCACTTACAAGCATCAAGCGAATAAGAAAAGAGAACATGTGTGTGTTGGGGGCTTGAGTCTCTTACATAGTGTAAAGTGACTTAAGGAAATTGTAAAAGGACACAGAAAATTGGAAAGAATCATCATGTAAAGCATAAAGGCCACTAAAAGGGTTTTAAAGGACTGGGAAGAGAACCACTTTTAAATTCGGGGTAGGAGAGTGAATCAGAATTAAGAACATTTAAAAGCAACTGAATGTAAAGCAGGCCAAAGCTTAAATGAGGGTAATGCTGTGACATATTGTTTGCCTACCAGTGGACGCTCAACCTTACTAGCACATACAGTCTAGCAAATAAAAAATAAAATAAAAAGGAAGTTCAAGACTGGAACAGAATGGAGTACTGGAAGCAGATATGACCAAACAATTAACAACGGAGGGAAATGGTTGCACAGCACTTCAAGCAGCTAACGCCTTAAAAGAAGAGGGTAGCCCCAGCAGAAGATAATAAAATGGTGATATAAAACATTTTTAAAGGATGAATGAATCTAGTCCAATCTAAAGAGGGATTAGCTTAAGCATATATAATTGAAGATTCACAAACTACTAAAACTGAGAAATAAAAATACTCCCTAAATTCCAAAATGAAGGATTATTTATAACTTAATAGGTTTGCATGCATTGATCAGGGGCTATATAGCACAAACACTTCTAAGAAGGTGGTGTATATTGGACACCGACACTCATCAGATACTGCCTAACACATGTTAAACATGTGTCCTATTATTTATTTTTTAATTTTTTAAGAACTAGGAACGTTTTGGACACTTGGGGCTTTTATGATTGGGGAGACTATAGCATACGAATGTGATTGTTAATCCACGGGACTTACATTCGAGTGTTTGGTTGCAATTTTTCTTATCTAGATTACATGCCGATGGACATTATATCCAAGAAAATTGGCCCATTTATTAATCCTACAACTAATAATGTAAAACAAATATATAATTGAGATTATATATTTCCATATTCTTGCAAAACAAAAGTGGACAAGAGGGGATTATTTATTCCACTAATCTAGTTGGATAACCGATCATACACTAATCCCATGGATTGTTAGTTTCCTCACTATTTATCCTACTAATCAAACAAGGCGGTAGGGGACATAACTGTTCATTGCTTAGGCACACATTGTAAGTATGAAAAAAATAATTCGGGATCTATTGATAAAATAAAAAAAATGTGGATTGATGTTCATTAGTCTCTCTTTGTTTTGACTTTTCATTTATAGGAAACCCACAATATTGTAAGTATGTTTATAAATAGAGCTTTTGTTCACAATTCTTTTCCAATATGTAAAATGCATAAAATAATTTATTGCCATTTTAATATAGTAAAATATAAAATTATTAAATGTTGTCAATATCTTACGATTCACGATATGTATCTCACGATTCGATACTTTTCGGAGGTAAATTGATACTATCATTAATATGTATCTCAAATTAAATGTATCGTACGATACATAATGCGATATAAAATATGCGATACATAATGTAATACGTATGTTACATAAATACTTAAATTTAACTTATTAGAAAAATTATTTTTGAGATGAGAATGGTACTTCTATTTTATGTCTCAATCTCTTTAAGGTTTCTATTGTACAGCATTAAGTATCTAGCGTTATTGATTAATGCCTTGTGAAGACATATGTATTAATTCATGTATATATTAAATTTAAGAAGCTTTGCTTCTACAATTTAAAGAATTATACATTGTTAGTGTTTTATTCTCACAAGATATTTAGTTTTTATAACTACATTTATTTTTCTACTTATTTTTAAAGGTGTTAAAGTATCTTATGATACATGATTTGTGTTCAGATTTGAAAACTATATAATGCAAAAAGATGAAGAAATAGTTATCATTTTCATGTATACATATAAAAATAAATATGTATTCGTTGTTGTGTCCCTACCTTGTTATGTTCCTTATTTTCCAAAAAGTTATTATCTTAGTGTGTCCCCATCATGTCGAATTTGTGTCCTATGTGCTTCTTAGATGGGGGAAAAGCGATCAAACCAAACAATAAATAAAAAAAAGGTATCCAATTTGATATTTGTTAACTATAGTTGTAGATTTTTATTTATTTTTTAATTGGTTCCATCCCAAAATTCAAATATTACCACATGGAAGCAAACAACAACAAAGCGAGATGTGTCTTTTGAGTTTGTAAGGTAAGGAGAATTGTTAGATGAGGTTCCATTCACAAGAACAATGTAGTTCTAATTTAACTGGAATAAAAATTTCCCCCAAGCATTGGCAGAGGGAGGGTGTCACGACATACGTTATAGTTTTATTAATCCTTGCTTGTATTTCCTTAAACTATTGAGGTTATTAATGGTTGGCCCCCTCAAAGGATAACAGAATCCCCTGAAACTTTTGTTCATCTTGTTGTTTCTTTCTTTAGGGGCACTTTGTGACTTCTGTAGAGAAAAGTCGAGATTTTTCTTTTTAATTTACGTTTTAGTGGTTTATTGGATCTATGTGCTCCTCCCGCTGACTACCAACTAGGACCCATTTCATTGTGTTATAGGGATGGGTGTTGTCCACCTAACCGGAGTGTCTTTTGCTTGGTCATCTATTTGATTGGTTAATGTTCACTAGGTGCCGTTGTTTTGGTAAAATAAAATGAGGCATTTTCTCTATTTTCCATGTAATTTAACAACAAAATAAGAGGAAAAATGGTCTCTTTTATTTCCTTCTTATCTAACAAAATGGTAAGGAAACATTTTTTTTTTCTCTTCTTTTCAATCTTAAGTAAAACAAAAAAAATTCTTTTCTAGCTTTTCCAAACAAATTGTTAGGAAACTGATGATGGTTTGGTTCACTTCAGAATTCGGTATTAACAGAAATACAATTGACTCATGCACACCGTGTCCTAACCCCCCACCCCTCCAAAGCACGATTTCTGGGGTCTGCCACTGCTCCCAGGATTTGATGGCCGTGTTTTTTTTTAAATATTTTATGGCTACAGAAGAATTTCCAGCCATATTCACTTCAGTGATTTTTAAATGAGGTTTAAGAGGCAAAGGAAGCGGGAACAAGTCCCTGAGCTCACAAACGAGTTAGTTCGAGTGTAACATTGCAGTTCGAAACATAGCTATATATATATGTTACATCCATGGTGCATATTGAATTGATGATATAGGAAAATCTACCAAAATTTCTACAGCATTTTCACAAGCCTTCATCCCATTAAGCATTTAGGGAAAATTGGCCAAACCAATTAAGTTGCAAAATTAGCAATGCCATCGAATCTTTTCCTAACCCAATCTTCATTTTTATCCCCCTCTCCATTCTCAAAGGCATAGCCTCTTTGACACTTTGCCTAGATTGATTAACCTAAAATTCATGTTTCAAATTACAAAGGAAAGAGCTATATTCCACAATGCCCACTGAGGGGCATTAGCCTGATTGACAACCAAACTCATCTAAACCGTTAAGCTGTTAGAGAGATGATAATTTTATTATTTATATTCATAACCACCCCCTCAATGCTCTTCACGTGTGGTCAGGGTCTCCTCCATTAAAAAGCCATACAAATATTATACTATCAGGTAGGTGATGAGATTTGAACCCAGGATCAATTTTAATATCACGTAGAAATGTTGACCACAAAATTGCCTAGAAAGCTTAAATTTTTAGAGAAGAGATAGACAACTTTATTATTTATATTGTCAACAATGACCACCACAGGAACAAATGTCAATCAATCAAAGTTGTTTATTTTAATAAAAATTATGGATTTTCATCTTTTGGGATCCTTATAAATCTCATAATTACTTCTGTCACAACCATTTTCAATCAATTAGAATACAACCCTAACAACCCATTTCATCACTAATTAAACAACATAAAAATGTGAAGCAGCATTCTTGCTTTAGAATCTGAAAAATTGGTTCAATTCTCTTTGAACAAACCATACCCATATATATAATATATAATTCTCCAAAAGGAAATTACATTCCCACATTAAGAAACAAGATAAACATAAACCCCAAACAAACATGTGAGAGAAAAAGAGAAAGAAGCATAAAATAAAAAAACCCTAAAGTTTGAAAAGAATGAATTGAAAGGGACATACCAGGAGGAGGAGGAGTCTTGTTCTGGTCACAGATTCGCTTTCTCTTCCCCATTATATATATATATATATATGGATAATGGGTTGTATGAATGAATATGGGTATAGATTTCGAAATTCTTTGAAAGGCTAGAAAGCAGCCAAATTCTAGGGTTTTTGGAGGGTGGAGAGGTGTGAGTGGCGTTGCGATGATGGAGCAGAGGACAGCGGACGTACGCTCAAGAAATCTAGAGAGAGAGTGAGAGTGAGAGAGATTTTTAGAGAGAGAGAGAGGTCAGCAGTTGTGTGTGTGTGAGAGAGAGTGTGCGTGAAGAAGAGAGAGACGAAAGAGAGGAAAAACACGTGCGAAAGAATCGCCGAAGACATGCTTTCAACTCGCGTCCACGTCATGTCGTGTGACGCGGCGACACGTGTGAATATAATTCGAACATTTCAGCAAAATCACGTGACATATCAGTACTTAGGCTTATTTTGACAAGTTTGTTAAGTTTTTTTATTTTTTAATTTATTTAAAGTCGTATTATTTTTTATATATTTTATTTTTAAAAAAATTAAAATATTAAAATAATAATTTTTAACTTACTTTTTTAAGTATCTTTTAGAGACTTTGAAATATGAGTAATTATTGAGTGTTATTGAAATATAATCATAAAATATTATAAGGTGTTTTTTTGTTAGAAAATGTAAACTTTATAATTTTGTATTAGGTAATTGAAAAATATAAAGAGATATAGTATATTATATTTAGTGAATGAATATAAACACATGTAGGGATGGCAATTTGAACCTGATCCAACGGGGACCCGACCTCCTGACCTCGATTAGAACAGATTTTCCTTGAAAATTATCCCTATAGGGCCAAGGATGGTATTGAAAATTGAATCCCCGATGGTTTTCAGGCCAAGGACGGAGATAGGTTCCCCTGGTCCCGGTCCGTCCACGCCCCGAATAATTCTCCGAATATTCCCCATATATATATATATATATGTTTAGGGTTATTTGAGTCTCATTTTCAGTCTCTCTCTCACTCACACTCACTTCTCTTCTCTCAGTCTCTCTCTCTCTCTCTCTCTCTCTCTCTCTGTTGCAGGTGCTCCTCACGGCGTTAGCAGTGGCTCCTTCGCTGTCCTCCTCTCCTTCCTCCTATCACCTCCGATCTCCCTCCTCCGCCGTTGTTGTGATAACCCTATCATGTGTTATGTTAATTAATTCTATTTATGATTATGGTTATGTGCTTGATATGATTTTGAATGCCATTTATATGATTATATGTACTTTTGAATTTCTATCTGTTCACCGTAGGAAAATCTGTTTGATTTTCTGCTATAAAATTTAATTAAAGGCCGTAGTCTCTTCTCTCTCTCTCTCTCTCTCTGTTGCAGGTGCTCCTCACGGCGTTAGCATTGGCTCCTTCGCTGTCCTCCTCTCCTTCCTCCTATCACCTCCGATCTCCCTCCTCCTCCGTTGTTGTGATAACCCTGTCATGTGTTATGTTAATTAATTCTATTTATGATTATGGTTATGTGCTTGATATGATTTTGAATGCCATTTATATGATTATATGTACTTTTGAATTTCTATCTGTTCACCGTAGGAAAATCTGTTTGATTTTCTGCTATAAAATTTAATTAAAGGCTGTAGAGGCGACTGAAACTGAAATTGATTGTATTTTTGCAATTAGCATGATTTTTAGAATATACAGTGAAATTTAATTAAAAATCGATTCGGATTAAAATAATTAGATTAAATCAATTAAATGTAGTACAATTGGTTAACACTAATTGAGATGGATTAGTTTAAATTAATCACTTAGTATATATATGGGTTAAACACACTTAGGCTCCTCATTTTGACCTCAAGAATCTAAAAATACACTCTAAAGGGAGAGAGTGAGCCGAATTAGAGAGGGAGGGAGCTCAACCTTGGGGATTTGCAAGTGAATTCAAGAAACTAAAAGGATTAGCTCAAGAATTGGCTATATTTGGAAGAATTGAAGCTCTTATGTGAATAATTGAACTCAAATTCATGAGTTTAAATTTATAAGCAAGTGAATCCAAGCATGATATGTGACTAAGAACAAGAATTGAGTTAAATGTAATGAAATTAGAGTTGTATATGCATGCATGTTTGTATTCACCATGATTATGTTCATTTGAGCATGACACATGAAGAATTGAGTACCCAATCATATATGCAAGCATAGTTTTGTTGAACTTCATGATTATAAGCATCATTTGTGCCATTTGAAATGAAATTGGAGTCAATAATTAACATGCATGCAAGATTCATGAAGGTATGAAGCTTGAATGCATAAGTTTCGAAATTAACAAAGAATTTGGAATGATTTTGGAAATGGACCATGATTCTAGACAATTGGTTTCAAATTATCTAAGTTTTTATGATACACAATGTTTTTCTATGTTTTTTGCATCAATTTGCAAACTTTGGAACTTTGGGGTTGTGTTTTGAAGCTCAAACAGCTTGCTGGAAAACCCAGAATTCGACTCATCAGCTCGAGCGAGGGAAGTCTCACTTGAGCGTAAAAATTTAGCTCCTAGAAGTTTTACAGAGATTTGCACAGTGGCTCAAATGGCAGACTTTACGCTCGAGCGAACCCTGTTTTGTAAGACTTCTCGCTCAAGTGTCGAAAATCTCGCTCGAGCATAAAATTCATCCAACCAGCACTTTTTTAGAGTTTTGTAGGCCTTTCGAGCGACCAAAGCTGCGCTCGAGCGAAGGGCCCTATTTCAAAATTTTTGAAAAGTTATTTTACGTTCCGTTTTTCGTTCTCCTTCATTTCTAAGCACTCTTAGGTATGCATTGAACACTGTAAATGAACAAAAGAGATAAGAAAGAGGCCTAAGAGAATAAACAAGTTAAGAACAGATTGAATTGTTTGTGACCCAATGTGTTATGAAATGTGTAGGGTTAAGCACCATGGTAAATCCATCGACGGAACACTGTGAGTAATATCTTAGTAAGGATATTTTGAAGTATGTTATTTTCAAAATTCTTACTTCTGTATAAGTTTTACAGATTTGTTAATTTGAATTGTGAACAAATGTCCGTTATGCGAATGAATTGGGTCAAAAGCCGTTTGACATGACTGAATTGGGCCAAAGGCTGTTTGACATGATTGAATTGGGCCAAAGGCCGTTTGACATGAATGAACTGGGCCAAAGGCTGTTTCACATGACTGAATTGGGCCAAAGGTTGTTTGACATAAATAAATTGGACCAGAGGCCGTTTGATAAGAATGAATTGGGCCTGAGGCCGTTTGATATATCTGTTACGAATTTCATTAATGTAGCTTCTTTATTTTAATATTATTCAGTGGGCTTTCGTTCACCCTCATTTAAATGTATATAGGTGAGCAAAGAGATGTCCAAACCCAGCCTCAGTGAAGAATGTGAGAGGAAGTCAAGTTTTGTGGAGTTAGCCCGAACGTCTCACGCACGAGACTTTGTTTTTGTTCTTTTGTTTACTCTTTTTGCTACCTTGGTGAATACGTTGGATCACCTATGTACATAAACCTTTGTTAATTCTGTCTACATGTGTGAGTTATTATGGACTGCTTGTGAAATGTTTTGCTTTACCATATAAGCACAGCTCATTGAACAAAATTTTTAAATCTGCTTCCGTTTTGGCCCTTTATTCTATTGAAAGCATGTTTAATCAGGTTTAAGGCCGTAGGTAATCCCTTGATTACTGGCCAGTTATGACCTTAATCCATAGGGGCGGGTTCGGGTCATGACAAGTTCTCTTGCTAATGTTTGGCATAAAAGACTAGGGCATCCTTCTTCTGCTGTGTTTCATACCATTGCAAATAAAAGTGGCTTGTCTCTTAGTCATAAGGATTGTAATACTTTTTGTCATTCTTGTTGTGTGTCTAAGAGTCATAGACTCCCTTTTGTACTCTTATCTAATAACACTAATGCTCCTCTTACTCTAATTCACTCAAATGTTTGGGGCTCTTTCACTAAGGTGCATACTTCCTTTACTTTCTATGTTGTTTTTATTGATGATTTTAGTCATTTTACCTGGCTCTATCCTCTTTCTTATAAAAGTGAAGTATATTCTGAGTTCATAGAATTTAAATCCTATGCTGAAAATCAGTTTTCAACCTCTCTTAAAATTTTAAGAACTAATGGGGGAGAAGAATATACTAGTGGTCAATTTGAGGCTTTTCTCAAATCTTCTGGAATTGTTCATCAGCTTAGTTGTCCTCGTACTCCATCTCAAAATGGAGTTGTTGAGAGAAAGCACGGACATCTTATTGAGACAACAATTACATTGCTTGATCAATCATCAATGCCTCTAAAATTTTGGTTTGAGGCTCTTGCTACTACTGTTTATCTGATAAATAGAATGCCTTCTCCTCAATTAGATAATCTCGATCCCTATGAGGTTTTGTTTCAAATGGTTCCAGATTATGGTTTTCTCAAAATTTTTGGCTGCAAATGTTATCCATGGTTAAAGCCTTATACTTCTCACAAATTGCAACCAAGATCCAAGGCTTGTGTATTCATTGGTTACCATCCAAGCTACAAGAGATATAAATGTTTGGACCCTAGTTCTGGTATAATCTTCTTTTCTCTTGACATGTTGTGTTTGATGAATCTTCTTTTCCCTTTGCTTGTTATGATTCTTCTTCACTACCTTTTCTCTCTTTCAAATCTACTATTAAGTCATTCTTTTGGGGCACTACTACTTTGTCTTCTTCTCAGATTGCTATCTATTCCTTTTCTGTTTCAGCTTCAGCTTCTCCTCGTGTTTCTTTTCTATCTTCTTATACACCAAATCATTCTGATTCTGCTTTAGTTCATGTTCTTACCTCTTTACCTTCTGCTTCCAGTCCTATCTTAAATAATTCTCGATTTATCTCATCTCCTTTATCTTTTTCTCCATCTGGTATTAAACTTACTATTCCTATTCTCCCTCCTCGTTTTTCTCACTCTCTCAATTCATATCCTATGCTCACTCAAAGTGAGACAGCCGTCTCTTCCCAAGTTGGTCTGCTTGCTACTTTTTTTGACACTGAGTCTCGAACCTATAAAGATACTCTGTTGTTTCCTCATTGGCATCAATCTATGCTTGAAGAATTTCATGCTTTTCAAACTCAAAAGACTTGGACTCTTGTTTCTCCTCATGTTCATCAACATGTTGTTAGTTGTAAATGGGCCTTTTAAATCAAAAAGAATTCAGATGGCTCTATTGCTAGGTACAAATTCAGATTGGTTGCTAAGGGTTATCTTAAAAAGGTTGGTGTTGATTTCTTAGATACCTTTATCCCTGTAGCCAAGCAACCAACCATT